TTTTTTTTTTCAGTTCTAGTAAAGCAGTTGCGTAGAACACATGTCCTGATTCATTGCGTACTCTATAGTAATACTCCAAACCAGAATACACAACAGGTGTATAAATCCCTCCCGCTTTGGCCTGGAACAAAGTGTGCTTTGGAAATCCGGAGGCGGTGATGTGCAACGAAATTTGAGTTAGCTTGTGATACAGATTTTTTTCTTCAGCAGATAAACGAGGCAGAAAAACAATTGCACATGTTAATGAATAGAAAACTTCATGTAACTGAATACAGATTGAAATAGGTTGCTTTTCCCAAATGAAATGCGGAGTTTGTTATATTAAGAGCCAATGTCCACAAAAATCATAGAAAATCAAATTTCTTCGGCAAGGCTGGAAAAGTCAGATTAGCTCGTCTTCTGCATTTAGCTAGCCCCTAGCAAGAGTGCAAACAGGCTGTAGTTTTTTCCTCAAAATATTTGTCTTTCCGAGAAAAACAACATTTTCGTTTTAACCTTTAGACTCAATTAAGCAAGTCCCAACTGGGGTAAAAATCGACCTCTTTCATTCGATTCGCATTTCGCAACTGTTGAGCACAGAAAAGTTGTAATACAGCCCGCGGCTTATTTCAGAACTATTCCTTGTCTGAAAAAAGCAAAAGTTCAAGAATATTGGATTTATCTAATTATTTGGCGGTAAACAAAACCAAATTGTTCTCCAACGGTTGAGTTAGTCGGTTGGTGAAAAGAATTGTCAGACTGTACCATGTGCCATGTCTCGGATGTTCAAAAGAGTTTAGATTCTAACTATACTAGGATAGGTCTTTCAATAGATGTAAAGTTTATTTTGGGCAAATGATTAGGCACTCTCAAAAAATTATTCAAAATCGTCCACAAAAGACACAAAAATCACACGAGCAGTTATCGAGTGCGTGACGAAAAGTCGTACCAAAATCTGTATTATCACTCTCTTCAGTTCGAAACGTCAGCATTACCAGGCTATATTAAAGTAACATAAAGAGGTTCAACTACTTCGGTTTGTAACATCCTGAAACTTGCAGACTGACTCTTTTCCGGCGTTCTCACGTTCAGTGCTTATATCCGACTTTACAGAAAAGCAATTACCACCAAGTCCCATATATGTATTATTGCAATTGTATCATCTATCTGTACTACTTACGTCGTTTAATTCAGCCAGTAGTAACCACTAAAGCGTTATTCGATATGCGCCATTCGGGTTTCCATTTTGAAGACATTTGTCCTCAATGTTGACTGAAGATGTGTTAACCGAGGCAGCCGTGCGTTACAACATCTTTTACATGGTGGTGAGGGTTGGGATCTCAGAGCTTTTAATAGAGTTAATTTTCTTTGTTTGAATTTTAAACCAGAGAGAATGGGTTAGTGTGTAGCATTTTATCGCTTTACTTAAGAAAGGAGTCCCTAAATTGGAACTAACATCGAGATATGGAAAAAATGCTAACGCTTTTTTTCGGCAATAATTACCACCCCACCCCTTCCCTGTTTGCAAAGACCATGAGGGGACGCAAATGACTTCTACTGTAAGTATCTCTTCCCGCTGAGATTTTTGGTTTGCGGCTGTGGGAAGCGTTATAATCTGTCGTTTGCGGTTTCAGTCATGTGTCATCTCACTGACGTCGGCATCTGGAAAAGGTTGTGTTTTGTAAGCATTGTTTCTTGTGACAGCGAAACGTCACCTCGTGACCTGCCTCGACCTAGCAGAGTTCATTTGACCGCGAAGATGGCGCCAAGGAAGATCTTTTATCCCTTCGCTCGCATCATCAATCCAGATCTTTCTTCGGAAAAAAAAATAAAAAACTAGCATTTGCTGACCTAACGTGTTTGTGCCAAAAGTCCGATACAGTACTTTAAGAAAAGTGCGGTTGAAATTCGATCATTATGCCTTGCCGACAGCTTCAGTTATTGTGGCAAGCTGCGCAAAGCATGCTCTGGATTTGAAGTTTGGTTCGCTGGCCGTTTTGTTTAGCCAACATCCTGATATTAAAGAGCGCATATCACAAGGATGAAGAACTTGGTCGCTTGAATAATTTCCTGAACGGCCTGGATTAAAGTTGCTCACTATTCGAAAAGGACGTGGTCCAGTGGTAAGCCTACGGACAAATTATGCAGAATTATGTTACTTGAGTTCAGCTGATTTATCCCGAGGGGAATTAAAAGACCTTCCATTTTTAAATTTTTAAATGAGCCCTTTGAATGGCAATGGCCGTTCCACCCTGACTAGCGCTGCCTGTTTTGAGAGCTCAGTCTCAGTTTATCTCAGCTTGAATTTAATTTTTGCAATCAGGGTTCTGGGTGGATTTTCCTGGGGTAGGGTCATGGGTCAGCTAACATAGCGGTATTTTCTTTTGATTGAAACGTCAGGATGGTACTGTGGACCACAATATCAGTTATTTTGGAAATTTTTATACTTTGACTTGTCCCGTGAGGAAAATAATAAAGCTGGCTGATTCCTAGCCTCCTACGCAGATACTCTTTGGGCTCGTCACGCAATCTCTCTCCCTCTGATATTGCGTGATGAGCTCAAAAAGCGTCTGTGTACGAGGCTAGCTTCGGTTTGAATTTTGCACAATAAACCAAGTGATTTTGATGGACCTCTCGCAACTGATTGCTTTTTCAAGAC